GTGTATAACATTTATTTTTGGCCTATGAAAAACTTCTTTTCAAAGACACTGCTGAGGTGGCTACAAGAGAAAACTGACAGGCTTTAGAAAACACATTTCAGCAGCAAGTGGGAAAGACTCCTTCAAACTGGGTTAGATATTGTCTCTTATTCAGTTAAAACCCCTTCTGTTTGTTGGAAAGATTCAATACGGCTTTTTCCGGTACTATCATTTATTTTTGGCCTATGAAAAACTTCTTTTCAAAGACACTGCTGAGGTGGCTACAAGAGAAAACTGACAGGCTTTAGAAAACACATTTCAGCAGCAAGTGGGAAAGACTCCTTCAAACTGGGTTAGATATTGTCTCTTATTCAGTTAAAACCCCTTCTGTTTGTTGGAAAGATTCAATACGGCTTTTTCCGGTACTATGATTCTTCTATGTTCAGTTTATTTTAAAAGTATTTATCTCACTGTGTTGCCATACTTCAAATTAAACACATCTCTCTCAATATATTCAGAAATACATACACATCTATTGTCTTCGCTCATTAGTTATGTCAGCATATAGTTAAAGGCTGCTGTAGAGACAAATACTTCTGTGAATCAAAGCCTCAGCATTTTTTTAAAGAAAACCTACCTATAATATTTACCATGAAACTGCAATTGTTGTAATGAAGAAACCTTGACAGGATCATGAACAATAAAAAGAGTTTTGGAGAAATACAATAACCCTTGCAGCAACCATGACATGAATAGTAAGACCCTGTTATGTACCCATCAAATACTTCAAACAATTACTTCCTTGAGCATTACTTTTGTATTCAGATCTTCTGCCAGTCCTTCTTACTCACAAAAATAATGCATTTCTCTTTGTTAAAACATTTCAAGAGTTCTTTAAAATCAAAGTACAAAAAAAAACCCAAACATAGAACCTAAGGCATTGCAAAAAGCTATGTATAAACTTGTTTTGAAATATTTATCAAAATATTGATGTTTAATTTTAAATTAATATTAACATCAAGCTCATTCTTCAAGATTAATTTTAGACTTGTACGAAATTCCAGTGACTGTACGCAAACATTTTCTTTTGTGACATCTTTATGCCATCAACATGCAGCTGATTTAACGATAAACAGTGCGGTGAAGGTGTTGCCTGGTTGTATCAGGTAACTGAAGACAATGGGGACACATTCATTGCAAATTAAATACAATGCCAATGAAGTCATAACTCATTTAAGTTCAATGTATTAGCTAATACGTGTACATCTCTGCCCCTGCCCCCATATCCCTCTTCAGTTATGCGCTCTTGTCATTAACTGGTAGAGATATAACAGCACAAAGCTGAAGATATTTAGATACTTGCCCCTCAGGAAATAGTTAATTTATTTTTCACTGAACAAATTCACCTGGAGAACTCTGTATGGCCCTAAGGGCCCTGGAGTGCCAGTAAGGAGGTGGCCTCAAGGCATTTTGCAGAACACAGCAAATTCACTCTGCCTCTGCATGGAGTTTGCTGGGTATTAGACAGCTCCAAGACAAAGGTCTTCAGCCATATTTGTGCATAACCCAGATCCTCTGGATTTAAATGGGAAGAATAAGGTCTCATGCTGCACGCATGTTGCCCACAGTTTTCCACTTGGACATTCTTTTTGTCATAATGAACAGTGAAGATTGATGTAGTCAAAATACTTGCTAGAGCTCTATTTACACAGAGTCAGAGAAAGAAGTCTCAGTCTCAATGAGACCGGAGATGCATGTTGGGTAGATAAAAGCTGTATTTAGAAGCAGGGATGACAACAGTCCACCATTTAGCAAGCAAGAGAGAATGGCAGGATTCAGAGTTCAAGACAATTAAGCATCATCACTTCCTTCCATCTGGCAGAGAGACTGCAAAAAGACTTAATTAAGGAATTTGTTCTCTCTGCCACATCTAAAATAATTCAAAGTTCCAGCATTTTCAGCTTTTGCATTTTCAGCCTATATAACGCAGTCACCCAGACAAACATAGGCCCTGATGTGTCAGTTCAGTGTGATACTGGCATTAGTGTAACAGGTATACTTCGAGGCTGAAACACAGGGATTGAGTCCAGAAAACTGAGCTACATGGTTTGATGGGGACACATGCATTTATGGTGAATTAGAACTGTGAGTTATCTGAAATAAGATCCAAACTTTTATTTAATCAGGGGATGTATGACAAACAAACATAGCTGTAGTTGTCCCTGAATACACAGTTTTAAGTTGGAGTAACTTCAAATAACTTGATCCAAACAGTTTTCCAGGATAGAATAAGAAATGGGGGGTGGGGGTGGGGGTGGTGTGGTGTGTGGAGTATGTAAAAATTATTGCAAACAGCATCTAGTTGCTGTAAAGAATCCTACATATTTCAAAGTTACAATGTAGAAGTTACTAGCCACTTGGCAAAACCGATATTGCTGAGCAGCTATATGACCACCACTTACAAGAATCCTACTGGTGACGAGTTATCTCTATAGATGGACAAAAATCAACGAAATTCAGAAACTTCCTTATTTGGTGGCAATGTTTTTTAGGTTTTTGTTTGTTGGTTTGGAGGGGGGTGTGTGTGTGTGTGTAATTTAGGAGCAGTGGAAAATGTAGCTTCTAATACACCCCTGCAGTTGAATAACTTCTGGGTGAAGTCAAAGCTGAGACTCAGACCTGCTCATAAGCCCCAGAATCCCCAGTGGCAGGTTAAAGACCGAGGCTGTGAACCATTTCACCATATAAATTAAAACAGGAACCTTTTAACAAGAAGGTAAATTTTCAGGGGTGTTAATCACATTAAAATGTTAACAAACAGCAAAATTAACAAGCGTATGTCAGATATCTATTAGTCATGTACTGTGAAACCACTAACTAACCCCTCCAGCTCAAAATACACTGTCCTTCCAGATGAGACAAAAAGGACAGAAGCCGTGATCAACGGAGAACATTCTGACTCTATAAAGAATTTACGAAGTATGGGCTCACCTTTACTTGGTGCCGATTTTCTCACAGAAGCTACATGGTCTTCAGAAATAGCAAGACGCCTTAGCACATCAGCCAGCGCTGCTTTCAGCACAGTGATTTCATCTTCTTGTTGCTGTACTCTCAGCTCCAGGGCTGAAAGACGGTCCTGGACATCAGACGTGCTAGCAGCTGAGATGCTGTCATCTGTAGGGAGTAGAAAGAGGCACTTAACAGCTTTGTTCTAAACTTAAAGCCATAGAAAGAAGCACGTATGACACGACTACGTCTGTCCCATAGCTCAGAAATACTGAAGACGGTCAAACATGTTCAGGCAAAGAAGGAATGGATATTATGTTAAATGTATCAAATCAATGCTTCAAGACAGAAGAAATGATACTAATCATTAGCTAAGACAGAAGACCTAAGGAGCGTGGCCCTATTACAATCAGAAGAGGAAATGTGTTTTCTGTTAAAACAGTGCAGAAAGCAAAACACACCAGTAGAAGGAAGACTGACATTAAGCTTATTTAAATAGCCAACTGAATCAACTAAAAAGGTATATAATTATGATAAAAATTTGCAATATATTCTTTGGAACTGTTGATGAATTTTAAATGTAATCCTTAATTTTAAAGCAAGATGTAAAGTTATTAAAAAAAAAACCAACAACTACCCTCCGCAGTTGAACACACAAGTATTGCTGGCCACGACGTAATTGCATCAAGTGGCAATCTCAGTTTCAATGGTCTAAATCAGAGCTCTTAACTTCAATTCCTTCTCTCTAACTTTTTTTCACATCACCACCCTGCATGTGCCAAAAAAGTATATTACATTATAACATTTGGCCTGAAGTGAACAGAAAATAAATACGCTACAAAAAGGTTCCAAAAATCTGTTTGGCCACACAGAGACAGATTAGTATTGAAGGCATAATCCAGCCAAATCTATTCTTCAGTGGTAAAAAGGAAATTACAGCTTCTGCATACTCTTTGCCTTTGACAGTTCTTTGCATTATTTCAGCCAAGCCAAAATAACACATAACAGATTTTTTTAATTTGGCTGTTCCAACAAATCACAGGCCAACCGCTAAAAAAGACCCATGCAAGAGTATGTTGCTCAATCACAAGGTACTGAATTCCTTATTCATCCTGATTTAGGCTTAATAAAAATTCAGGAAGGAACTTCTAATACAGGCTTACAAAATCTACCTGTATTATACAAACAGACAGTATGAGTCCATATTCTTTGAAATATATACAAATTCACACATACGGGTAAATAGCTGGATACGATTACTGCGATTATATACAATCTAAACTTTACTTCACTCATCTTACAAAGACATACCAAGGGAAAAATAGAAAGTAATATCAGCCACAATCCTAAAACTCCATTTTTCACTTTAAAAAGCCTTAAAGTTTGAAATACTTGCACAAGGACACTTTTAAAATAAATGTAAGCAAAAGAAACACTGGGCCAAACCCCGCTGATTAATTAAATATGAAAGAAATTAAGGAGTTTAATGCCAACTTCCATTCAGTTAAAACATACACTTGTTACTGAAGGAGCAAGAATTGAACCAAGCAAAATAAAGAATCATAATAATACTTGCACAACACTAACAAAATTTCCACAAGGTAATTCACGCAAATTAATTCATGAAGAAACAGTTTTACTTCAGGGAAGTAAATGGACTGAGAGCAGTACCATATGCTTCACACTTCTGCTATCCTTGCAGTATTAGCCTTTAAACACATGCAGTGGACCAGTCAAAATGAACACTGCAGAAAACAGTGACAATTATTTTCAAAACATTATGATCTTTATATCTCATCTTATGCTTGAGCAGCAGTCCAAACAAAGAAGAGAGAAGTTTGACATTTCCTTAAAAGAAGCAAAAGGGGGGG